ATAATGACCTTTATCACAATATGCTAATTTTTTGAGAAGGACCTGTATAAGCCACACACACTAAATAAAAAAACATATTGTACACATATAAGCTGCAGGTGTTCATGTTATAATATGAGTGTCAGCACAGCTACTGAGTGATGTGCAGCTCTTGTTGTAGATCAAGAATCAACCACCAGATGGAGTTTTATAGACTTTATCTTACTGTTCAACACACAGTGAACCCCACACGTCTTTATGACAACTACCTCCGTCACTCATGGTTACTCCACTGACTGGTCTAACACGAACTAACACATGATGAACACATGAACTAAGAAGAACAGACTAATCACTAAAAGATCAATGCTAAACAGCTAACTGAAGTGATTAACAATGAACTTAAATTTTACCCATAATCCCTCTCTGTGGCCATGTGACCAGCAGTCAACCACAATGAACCACAGAATGCTGCAATACATACTGGTAACATACACAAATATGTACAGTAAATGTTTTGTTTTTGAACAATACCTGTTACACGGCTGGTAAATTTTTTTTAAAAAATACAGTCGCATATCAGGAAGTCATTGATCACTATATTCCTCCTGCCACAAACTTACGCTCTGGAGCAAAATTGCTCTGTGAGCATGTGAGACTCGCATGCTCTGTGCATGCTGGGCAATCCCCTTCCGTTCTTCCCTCCCCATTTTATTGGTTCGACTGTGACCTGTTTGGTAATTTCATTGACCAGATTTTATTTTTAAACCTTTATTTTTACAGGTAGTCTCATCAATACACATCTCTGTTGGGGGGTGGGGTTCTCGTGTCTCAATGAGACTACCTCTTTGGTTCATTGTGGTAGACTGCCGGTTTTTTTTAGTGATTAATCTGTTCTTGTTAGTCTAGTTTATGTGCTAGTTTGCATTAGACCAGGGGTCTGCAACCTGCAGCTCTGGAGCCACATGCGGCTCTTTGGCCCTTCTGCAGCGGCTCTTTCAAGCTTTGACAAACTGCAATACAACTGAGTTTTATTGGTTGTTGTAACAACAACTAAAAGAGCTAGTTTTAGCAGTTTTCCTGTATTTTTTTTTTGCAAATATATGAATACTAGAAAGCAGCACGGTGGCACAACTGGTAGAGCTGCTGCCTCTCATCGAGCAGGTCCCCAGTTCAAACCCCGGTCCAGGGGCCTTTCTGGGTGGAGTTTGCATGTTCTCTCCGTGCATGCTTGAGTTTTCTCCGGGTACTCCAGTTTCTTCCCACAGACCAAAAACATGCATGTTAGACTGATTGGTAACTCTAAATTGTCCCTAGGTGTGAGTGAGAGAGTGAATGGTTGTTTGTCTCGTTTGTCTCTATTTGGCCCTGTGATGGACTGGAGACCTGTTTAGGGTGTCCCCGGCCCCTCGCACAGTGACTGCTGGACATGGGCACTGGCGACCCCCGTGACCCAAAATGGAAGAAGCGGGTAAAAGATAATGGATGAATGGATGAATACTAGAAACATTACAAGAAGTAAAACATACTCACTTTCACTTTGTTTTCTTTCTTCAAAGTAGGATTTGTAATTTTTCCACAGTTAAAAATAAATCACATAAGAATGCATAGTTTATTGTTTTAGTTTTTAGAAACTGGGCAAAAACTATATTATTTTTTTCCTTCTTTACAAGAATCTCGTCTTTTATTTTGTCTTAGAGTGTAAAAATATCAATAAATGTTAAAAATCATTAGATATTTTTAGTTTTATAAAATCACCCCAACTGTCCAGAAAAGTGTCCTCCAACAAACTTGGTCTTTGGGCCACCAGTTGAGAATCCCAGTTGTAGCAGGTATTGTGGCTCAGGACACATTTAATTTAGTGAACAAAGGGGCAGAAATGGCTCTTTTGATCATAAAGTTGCAGACCCCTGTGTTAGACTATTCAGAAGAGAAACCATGAGTGAGGGAGGTAGTTGTCATGAAGACCTGTGGGGTTCACTCTGTGTGAGTCATGAGGACCCCCCTCCCCCCCAAAAGAAAAAAAGTGAGGTGTATTGGTCTTCTATGTAAGTGCCCAGGTGTGATTAAGCTAAATGCTTTTGGTGGCATGAATCTTGTTAGCCCATCTAAAAACAAAAAATCCATAAATTAGCCGCAGCATTGTGCATAAGCCGCGGGGTTCAAAGTCTGTGAAAAAAGTAGCGGCTTATAGACCGCAAAGTACGGTGCATTCGTTTTCTCCATCAGATTTGAATTTGTTCTGTCCAGCGGTTCATAAGATATGTTGCTCTCTCACACACACAGTGAGATAGGAAAAGAGAGAGAAAATGGTTCAGGTAATAATTGTTGGGGATTGTGCAGCAGGCTGCTTTTGCTCCAGGGCCATTCATTCAGACTTATCGTGCTCTCCTGTGAGTGCAGGTGTTGGAGACTTCCAGGTGAGCGACGTGGTCTTCCTGCCTGACCCGTGTCCTCTGCCAGAGGCTCAGAAGAAGAGAGCTCTGAATGAAAAGGAGCGGCTGCTGTATGCCCCCATGGCCGGGGTCGGGGGGCTGGTGTATGACAAAGATGCTGTTTACATCGACATTCCTGCCAGCCACGTCAACCAGCAGCAGGTGGTTTTAGATACTTCATCTGCTTTTTGTGTAAATACTTAATGGCTTGCATTGATTGTAAATAACTCTTGTCTACATGATGGTGAAGGAGGAGGTGCGTCCCACCACAGAGCTTGTCCAGTCTCTCATTGACACTCATGCCACTCTGGATGCCAAGATGGCTGTCAGTAAGGTTTCCCTCTTCAGCGGCTCGGCCATGTTGGACTCAACAGACGGGACCAATCAGAGCAGGTGACACTCAGAACTGCACATTTGTTTGTACACGCAAATGAGAGGTGGGAATTACCAAGCTCATCATGGTTTGACTGGATTATGGTTAGGCCTGTCGTGGTAAATCAATCAATCTCATGATAAATGAAAATTATCGACTTCATTTTTGTTGATCAGCTTTATCGTTTCTTCGTGTCTCTCGGTTTCTACTGAAGACGCTGGATGACAAAAGCCTCAACTCCGGTGCTCTTCACTGACCCCTCCCTTTCTCTTTTCTCTTTAAAATAAATTTTAATCGTCCAAAATCACGTTTTTGGATTGTTAAAAGCAGCTAAGCTGAGAAGCTAAGCTACAAACTAAGCTAACAGGCCAATCTCGGGGGGGGGGGGGGGGGGGATCTGTCTTGTCGGAGCTCCAAAATTCACAGTTGAAACCCGTGCCTTTGTCTAAAAAGTTGTTTTTCTTTGCAAAAAGAAGCTGAGAACTTGTTTACTGATTTTTTTTTTATTGAAAGCTTTGTGTGACAAATGCTATGCTAAAGAGCTCAAACCACACAGAACGTCTGCCATTTTGAGAACTGACGAGAGACAGCCCACGTCATGTCAAGGGGCCTCCCTCCCATTTTTCTTAGAGACACGCTGCTTGCTCCCTCACTATCCATCCTTCGGTTCAAACGGTGTTATACTGCTATCCAGTGGTCAAAATTGTACTACATGCAAAACAAATTAACAAACATTTCAAACATTTCTTCTTAAATTTGACAATAGTTACTAATTATTGTCAAATTTCAAACAATATTATCGTTTATCGCGATAATTTCTGAGACAATTAATCGCCCAGCGAAATTTGTTATGGTGACAGGCCTAAATGCAGGTCATTACACTTTAATATACATGAAGGTAGACCATAATAACACATTTAAGACCCTGATTTTTACTGTTTGCTGTGTTTGTAGAGAGCATGAGGGACTGCAGGAGAAACCTGTGTGGGATTCCATCATGAACAGAGAGAGACGGAAAGTGATCTTTAATGAGGACAACGTGGAAGAGGAGGAGGAGGAGGAGGATGAGGAGGAGGATGAGGATGATGGTTTTAGTGGGTCTAGTGATGGTGAGGATGATGACCAGGCTGATGAGGATGAAAATCAAGAAGATCTGGTCACATTTCTTAAAGAGGTCAGGGTGGAATGTGAAGGGATGACAGAAGGCCACGTGCCACCAAAGAAGATTCAGAAAATGGACAAAGGACAGAGAGAAGTGATCACTGAGGCACCGGCTTTTGCAGACAGTGAGGATGAGCTGGAGAACAACAAAGAGGATGATGAGACCTGGGAAGCAGGTTATTCTGGACATTCTTCAACTAAGAACGATGAAGAATCAGAAGAAGAATCTATGGAAGATGGCAGCACAGCTAAAGAAAGGCTGAAGAACCAAACAGAAAAGGAAAGTGAGGAGGAAGAAGAACATGGTCAGTATCAAATTTTTACAGTTCATGTTTTCTTTCAACAGTTTATTTCTTCCCATGCTGTTTGGTTTTTATGTTTAATATACATCACTTTAAAAAAGTAGGTATGCTTCTGTCATGAAGGAGAAAAACAGTCTGAGTCAGACAGAGAGGACTTTGTTGATGAGGAGGATGATCATGACTTGTTTAGAAAGAGGAAGAGAGCACTGAGCCCCACTAATGCCCCTTTTCCATTAGTACCGGTACGGGCCGACTCGACCCTACTTGGCCCGGTTCTGAGGCTTTTCCATTAGTACCGGTACTTAGCACCTGTTACTATTTTCAGTACCCTTGGCTCTGTGGTTCTAACCGGTACGAAGAGGTACAAAAACGTGACGTCAGTACACTGTCGGTCACTGGTTGGTCGGGGGCGGAGTCGGGGGCGGAGTCACTGGATCCTTCAGAAACGTTTCAAAACAATAATCCGCCATTTGCAATTTCTCGGACTGGAGCAGCAGCTGGACTTATTTTAAAGATTTTAAAAACAATACTGACAACATCTTGGTCTAATGTTGATGTGCTGGCATTTTTTGTGCTTGGTGGCCGACAACATAATTCAGAGCAAGCTGGATGGAGCTCTGCTGGTGTACCCTGATCCTCCCTCCAGAGCCTCGGAGCGCCAGGCCGGGCAGGGCGTCATCTCCCCGGCTCCAAGTTCAGCTGGTCACCGCGGAAGAACCTTCGATGTGCCGACTCGGAGGCTCGGGTTCCAGAGACCAGCCTTGTGTGCTCAGAGCTCCGCAGGTCACTGCGAAGCTGGAGATGGGGACTTGCAGATGGCCGTTGCCAGACCCCGGCCGCGCGTAATCATGAAGGCTGAATCCCGATCCCGCCCGGCAGTCAGGCGGACAGGACAGTCTGGGACGGACGCTGGAAGCGATTTTTAAATAAAATAACATTTTGTTTTTATACAAAAAATGTTTTAAAAAAATGCTGAAGCGATTTAAAAATGATTTTTTTTTTTTTTACACGTAAAATGTTTTTTAAAATCGCTTCCACCGTTCGTCGCAGACCCGTCTCTGTCCGCCTGTCTGCGCGGGTCGGACCTTCATGATTACGCGCGGCTGGAGTCTTGGAACGGACTCTGTGAGTGACCAGCTGAACTGGAGCTGGGAGGATGAGCCTCCCAGCCTCCTCCTATCCGGAGGAGAGGATCGTGTGACTGCGGGCAGTGTCGTGCGAGACCAGCAGAGCGTTGAAGATTAAAAAAAAAAAAAAAAGACGGTGCCAGCTTCATCATGAAATCCTGTTTTCACTTTAATGACTGTTAACTCAGCTGAAAATCATAAAAAGACACAAAACTATTGGATATCAGGAATATTTCCCTCAAACATGTTTAAAGAAAAGAGACGACCTTCAGTTCAACTTTATTTTAACTCACGAATGTACAAATCACAAAACAAGAACTTTAAAGCAAAGCTAAAAATAAAATGTATATATGTGAACAAGAAAGGAAACCACACATTTAAAATGAACATTAAAAGTAGACACAATGAGTGCAAATACATCAAATGATGATGAAAACCTATAAAAATTTGAATGTAATGTTTTTGTAGAATCTGGTTCATCAGAGTTTTAATTTATATACATATATATATATATATTTATATCTATAAATAAATATAGATAAATATATATGTATATATAAAAATACATATATATGTAATTTATATACATATATATATTTATATCTATAAATAAATATAGATAAATATATATGTATATATATAAATACATATATATGTATATAAATATATACGAATATATATATATAAATACATATATATATGTATATAAATATATATGAATATACATAAATACATATGTGTATATATATATACATAATTGTGTGTATATACATATGATATATATATATATGTGTGTGTGTGTGTATATATATATATATATATATATATACACATAAATATATACACATATGTGTGTACATATATATTTGTGTGTGTGTGTATAAATATATATATATATATATATATATATGTGTATATATATATATATATATATATTTATACACATGTATACATGCATACACACATACACACAACTTCAAAATAACATAAATTCTCAACCTGTACTGAAAACAGTTTCTGCGTCTCAGCGCCACCAGCTGGTGAGAGGCCGTGACGTCAATTTGAACCCCGCCCACTGGAACCGGTACTGAAAGCATAATGGAAACACAACCTGTACCGTACCGAGTAGAGTAGAGCCGGGCTGTACCGGCCCGTACCGGTACTAATGGAAAAGGGGCATAAGAGGTCTGACTCTGAGCAGAGGAGGGGGTCCAGAAACCTCTGATTGGGCCACCAGAACCAAGCAGCAGTTCTGAGCTCTGGAGAACAGAGGAGGATGAGGATGTTGACCCAGAGTAGAGTTGCACTCGGGTCCAAAAAAATCCGGCCCCAGCCCGCAGCCATCATCTCCAAACTCCACCCAATCCAACAAATTAACAGTAATTACAGGTCCGAACCCGTAAAACCCCCGACATTTTGAATTAAGCTGTGACTGCTTAAACCACTGACTGTTACTAACGGTTGGTGGACGTGCGCGGCTGAGGGGGCAGAAGGTCAGAGCTGAAGAGCCATCAAAGCGCATCAAATGCTTCCCCTGCTTCTGCCTGCATCCTGCTCTGACATGTCAGACATTTTCTGATCTCACCTGTTTGGGTCTCGGCTGCACACGTCCACTGAGTGCAGCGGCTGAATGAACGTCCATTTGGGCTGATGGATCGCTGGCAGTGGTCCATCTGAAGCTTAACTGAACTTTTTACCTCTTTCAACTAGGGGTGCGAATCTCTCAGTGTCTGATGATCTGATTCGATTCCGATTTTTGATGTCACGATACGATTTTAAATGGATATTTTTATTTTATTTTATTTTTTTTTTTGATTCAGAAACAATTTTCGATTCAGAAACGATTTTTCTATTGAAATGGTCATACCTTTTGTTTCAGTTATGTAGCTGACAAGCTGAAAAGATTAAACAACAATGTAAAGCAATAGACCATTTATTTAAAAATCATTTTAGGTTCCTTACTGTATCAAATATTTTTTTATTCATTTTATATTTATACCAAAAATAGGAAAAAATATAAGAGTGCATAAAATTCTGTAACTTAAATTTCCAGTATTAGGTTAGCTTAGTTGCCTGAATTTTTCTAAAAAAAAATTTAAAAATCAAAATCTACGAACAAATCATCCATCCATCCATCATCTTTATCCACTTCTTCCTTTTCGAGTCACGGGGGTCACTGGTGCCCATATCAGCCATCACTGTGTGAGAGATGGGGGACACCTGGACAGGTCTCCAGTCCATCACAGACAAATAATTCAGAATATATAAATATAAAAGTAAACAGACTTCAGCCTACCATAGTACATTAACCTTTAACTCTAAATAAAATACAGACTTCAGTTATTTTTAACCATATTTCTCTAAATATCCTGATGCATGCTCAATAATCCAGGTAGAAAAATCCAAAAAAGTTCAACCTACTTCACATATGGGGAGTGTAGATAAACATATGCATGAGATATATTCATAAATTAAACGGATTCTTTCATTTTTCTGGACTGTATAATAATGTGCATTGAATTTAGAAATGTAACGTGAGACGTTAATTATCTTTGACTCACCAACGACAGTGGGTCATTTATTTACATAATCAAAGTTTAACACTTCACACATTTACATTAATTGGCAAAATATGGAAAATAACAACATGGCTAATTTTAACAAGCTGTACAATTTTGATTGACCACACTGCGGTGGTTGAGAACTTTACACAGACATTTCTAAAATATCTTGAATGATTTCTACCTGATAGAAGAATTTTAAAGATGGAAAGATGAAGTTTAGAGGGAGAAAAAGATGGGTGAGGGGGTTTGTTTGTGTCAGCATTCAGAACGGCACTCTCCGGGTTTTTCTCAGCTTCTTCCCCCAGTACACTTAGGTGGTATAAATCAACTCTTTTACCTGGAGATGTCTCCACTGGTACGAAAGTCCATTCAACGCACCCTTTCAGCGTCTCCGTAGGAACAGCTGTGAATCGTCCGAAGTAGTGACGGTATTCCGTCCGACACAGGTTCACCTCACGAGTGGACTTCACATGAGTGGAGTCCGTCAGAGTTCCACCCAGAGGTGGAAGATGTTATAATCCCATAAGACTCGGAAGAGCTCTGTGGTCATGTCAGGATTTTCCTGTTTCCCAGCACGGGAGCTGCAACGACTGAAGCCGGAGCCTGAAGCGACTGGTTCTCCTCGACACTTCACCCGACTCCAACTCGACTCGACTCCAAACTCGACCCGACTGGGTTGAACTAGGAAGTACCGACATTTTAAAGGGCTCTATTTCCGGTTCATTTGGGAGTTTCTGATTGGTCAATATCGACCAGACAGGGGTGTGTTTTTGTGACGTAAGAGGTCACTAGGAGTCAGAAAAACAGCAAGAATGTTATGGAACAGATTGAAAATGTTTTTAGAGCCAGAGAGAGAAATGTTTAGACGAGTTGGCGGAAAACAGGTGCCAGCTTCTCTATTTACGTCTGAGAGGATTTAAAAACATGACAGCTCGTTCCAACACTTGTCTGCGTTCGACTCCAACCTTGGACCAACTTACCCTGCTCATTCAAAGAAAGAAAATCAGAAAATGCATAATTACTCTGTAACAGACCTTAACATGAATTCTAACTTTGCATGAGGATTAAAAATCATTATTACTGTTTCACAGTTAATAAAAAATGATTAGTTCACTACAACATCTAAAATGGTTTGAACTAAAACACTTTGATTATCAAACATTTGTAAAATAGTAATGATAATAGAAAAGAGAGTGTTCTTTCACTTGAATTCAAGAAAGAAAGTCTCAGGATGAGTCAACCTGTATTTCTGGATTCAAATCAATGAAATGACAGTTTCTGTCCCATAAGGTGCCTAAGGTCAAGGTTTTGA